CTTTTAGCCAAATTAAAACATTGAAGTGAAATAGGAATTGGGATGAAATTATCAACTCAAGATTACTTACAACATCAGGATTTACTTACATTTTCCCCTATCAATGTCATAAAATGATCATTGTAGTAGATTTACACATTCATTTCCCGAGAAATTTCGTATTCCTTAGCACGTACAAATTCACATTGCATTATTGATTAGGTTGAGTTCTTCAAATAATAAAAAGGTGATACAGCCAATGAAATATTTAAAGAGGAGCATATAAGAGATCTAGCTGCTTGTCAGAAAGAAAATGTTATCGGATATTGTCGCTGAAATCACGAGGAGAAGCAGCGAATAATTGTTTTGATGCTGTTAGTATAACATATTGTCCATCCACTGTTTTATGTTCTATCATAATAATTCTTGTGACCTCAGAAGTAACCTCAGAATTGACCTCAGAACTGACCTCAGGATCCGCTGAATTCGAGGAAGAAGATCCCGAGAGCTAAATGCGCTAAATCATTTTCAAAGATATGTTCCAACAGGTCGGTTGGGAAGACGATAACGAGCGTCATTTGATCTTTGGTCCCCCCCCCCTTTATTCATATTGATATTACAATTGTTGAATTCGTTTCTGTATTAATCAACTCATATTTAATAAAGGTTTAATTACCCAAGTTTGAGGTACTACCAACTAAAGAGGCAGAAAGAACCGTCAGTTTTTATCACGGTTGGAGAAAATCGGCGACAAATTTAATCCGACCAACCCGATTTGAACCATCGACCTAAGGATTTGATTAAGAAAGAATCGACCCAAGGATTCGATCAAGAAAGAATCGATCTAAGGATTCGATTAGAAAAAGAGTGAGTAAGTCTTATTCAACCAAGAAAGAAGTGATTAAGTCTTTCTCAATCTAAAAAGAAGAGAAGGGAATAATTCTTATTAGTCTTGTTCGTATCAGCTCGTAACGAAGCTTGAAAGTGGTCGGAATAGAAATATGAGTATAAACGATTCAAAAAAGGAAGGTTCTCTTTCCTATTTCATTGAAAGAAATTTGAAGTGTCTTGAGAATACGAAAAAGGTTGAAAAAACAATAGAACTAGGAGAAAAGGATTTACGGGAAGGATTAAATAGGAAGGAACGATGGAATGGCTAAACGGACGAAAATCTGATATTGAAAAACAAGTAATAGTGTTGGACGATATAATCTCCAAGGCAAATGATTTGGAGATAGAGTGGAAAGAATTGCTACGTCCAGCAAATGATGGTGAATGGGAGAATAACGTTGCGTTATATGAATTACAGAAGAATGCTGTATGACGAATACTGTCTGTTTGACAAAGGAAATAAGCCTTATTGTGAAAGAGCTTCACTTCTTACGAAACTAAATCGAATAAGTGAAACAATCATAGAAGTTAAAATGAAGTATGGAAAGGCAGATCATGACGCAGCACCAACAGAAGAGCAAAAGAGTCCAGAAGATTTAATTGAGAAGATAATCACGACCAGTAAACTACCGACTTTAAAACCGGTAGGATTTGATGGCGACCCGAGAATGTGGGGCCAGTTTATTAGTGAGTTTGAAGAGTCAATTCACAAGAGAACGGATTTAGCACCCACAGAAAAATTCATGCATCTGTTAAGCAGTTTGAAAGCAGAAGCAAGAGAACAAATAAGTGACTTCATGGTAAATGAAGAAAATCACCCACTGGCTCTAGAAAATTTGTATGAACGATATGGTGATAAGAAATAAAGGACAAAGGAACTATATAAAAGCTGAGAGAATTCGATGCTCAAATAAAGAACCGTTTAGAATAATAAGGGAGCTCTTGAACTTACTATCTCAATTAAAAGGATTGGCAGAAAATATAGAAACAACACAACTGGCGTGATGGTAACTAATAAAATATCAGAAGACATG